GTTCTTTGGTGGAGTTTTGGGGGTCGCTTAAGTACACTATCATATCATCTGCGAATAACGAAAGTTTAACTTCTTCCTTTCCAATTCGAATCCCCTTGATCCCATTATGTTGTCTTATTGCTATTGCTAGAACATCAAGTACTATATTGAAGAGGTATGGAGAGAGTGGACATCCTTGTCGTGTTCCTGAGTTAAGAGGGATGGCTTTGAGTTTCTCTCCGTTTAATTTGATGTTAGCTGTCGGCTTGCTGTATATAGCTTTTATTATATTTAGGTATGACCCTTGTATCCCTAATCTCTCCAAGACTTTTAACGTAAATGGATGTTGAATTTTGTCGAATGCTTTTTCAGCATCTAATGAGATGATCATATGGTTATTTTCCTTCAGTTTATTTATATGCTGGATTACATTGATAGATTTTCGTATGTTGAACCAGCCCTGCATCTCAGGAATGAAGCCTACTTGACCATAATGGATAATTTTCCTAATGTGTTCTTGGATTCGGTTTGCCAGTATTTTGTTGAGGATTTTTGCGTCCATGTTCATGAGTGATATTGGCCTGTAATTCTCTTTCCTGGTTGAGTCTTTGTGTGGTTTTGGTATCAGAGTAACTGTAGCTTCATAAAAGGAATTAGGTAATGACCCTTCTGTTTCTATATTGTGGAATACATTAAGGAGTATAGGTATTAGCTCTTCTTGGAAGTTCTGGTAGAATTCCGCATTGAAACCATCTGGTCCTGGGCTTTTTTTGGTAGGGAGGTTTTTGATAACAGCTTCTAATTCTTCGCGACCAACAGGTCTGTTTAGATTGTTCACCTGGTCCTCGTGTAACTTTGGTATATGGTATTTATCTAAAAAAGTGTCCATTTCTTTTACATTTTCCAGTTTTGTGTTATACAGGCTTTTGTAATATGATCTGATGATTCTCTGAATTTCCTCTGTGTCTGTGGTTATGTCCCCCTTTTCATTTCTGATCTTATTAATTTGCGTATTCTCTCTCTGCCGTTTGATTAGTTTGGATAGGGGTTTATCAATCTTGTTGATTTTCTCCAGGAACCAGCTTTTTGTTTCATTGATTCTTTGGATTGTTTTCTGTGTTTCTATTTTGTTGATTTCAGCCCTCAGTTTGATTATTTCCAATCTTCTACTCCTCCTAGGTGAGTCTGCTTCTTTTTTTTCTAGAGCTTTCAGGTGGGCTGTTAAGTCTTCAATATGTGCTTTCTCTGTTTTCTTTAAGTGGGCACTTAGTGCGATGAACTTTCCTCTTAGCACTGCTTTCATAGTGTCCCATAAGTTCGAGTATGTTGTTTCTTTATTTTCATTGAATTCAAGGAAGACTTTAATTTCTTTCTTTATTTCTTCCTTAATCCAGGTATGGTTCAGAAGTTGACTGTTCAGTTTCCATGAGTTTGTAGGCTTTCTGGGGGTAGCATTGTTGTTGAATTCTAACTTTAATCCATGGTGATCTGATAAGACACAGGTGGTTACTAATATTTTTTTGTAACTGTGTAAGTTAGCTTTGTTACCGAGTATGTGGTCAATTTTCGAGAAGGTTCCATGAGCTGCAGAGAAGAAGGTATATTCTTTCCTCTTCGGGTGGAATAATCTATAGATGTCTGTTAAGTCCATTTGCTTCATTACTTCCATTAATTCTCTAATTTCTCTGTTAGGTTTCTGTTTGATTGACCTGTCCATTGGTGAGAGAGGAGTGTTGAAGTCTCCTACTATTAGTGTGTGTGGTTTGATGGCTGCCTTGAGTTTTAGTAATGTTTCTTTTACATACGTGGGCGCTTTTATATTCGGGGCATAGATATTCAGGATTGAGACTTCATCCTGATGAATTGTTCCTGTTATGAGTATAAAATGTCCCTCTCCATCTCTTCTGATTGATTTAAGTTTGAAGTCAACTTTGTTAGAAATTAGTATGGCCACATCTGCTTGTTTCTTAGGACCATTTGCTTGATAAGCCTTTTCCCAGCCCTTTACTCTGAGTAGGTGCCTGTCTTTGTGGTTGAGGTGTGTTTCTTGTAGACAGCAGAACGTTGGATCCTGTTTTCGTATCCAATCCCTTAGCCTGTGCCTTTTTATAGGTGAGTTGAGCCCATTGACATTAAGTGATATTAATGACCAGTGGTTGTTAACTCCGGTCACTTTTTTAGTAGTAGGGTTTGTGTGTTTCCCTTCTTTGAGTTGCGCTGGTGAAAGGTCTCTAGATGACTGAGTTATTGTGGGCATTGTTGGACTCCTTGGTTAGTGATTTTCCTTCTATAATTTTCTGTAAGGCTGGATTTGTGGCTACGTATTGTTTGAATTTGTTTTTATCCTGGAAAATTTTGTTTTCTCCATTTATAGTGAACGAAAGCTTGGCTGGATATAGTAGTCTGGGCTTGCATCCATGATCTCTTAGTTTTTGCAGTACATCTATCCAGGACCTTCTGGCTTTCATGGTTTCCATAGAGAAGTCAGGTGTAAGTCTGATAGGTTTACCTTTATAAGTAACTTGGCCTTTTTCCTTTGCGGCTCTTAATATTCTTTCTTTATTCTGTATATTTTGTGTTTTGATTATTATATGGCGAGGGGATGTTTTTTTTTGATCCAGCCTATTTGGTGTTCTGTATGCTTCTTGAACCTTCATAGGTACCTCTTTCTTCAGGTTGGGAAAGTTTTCTTCTATAATTTTATTAAGTATATTTTCTGTACCGTTGAGCTGCACTTCTTCTCCTTCTTCTACTCCAATTATTCTTAGGTTTGGTCTTTTTATTGTGTCCCAAATTTCCTGAATGTTTTGTGATGAGAATTTGTTGGTTTTGCTGTTTTCTTTGACCAGTGTGTTTATTTTTTCTATGGTATCTTCAGTGTCTGATATTCTCTCTTCTATCTCTTGTAATCTGTTGTTAGTACTTGTTTCTGTCATTCCTGTTCGTTTACCCAGATTTTCCATTTCCATTCTTCCCTCGGTTTGTGCTTTCTTCATTGCTTCCATTTCATTCTTCATGTCTTGAACCGCTTCCCTAACCTGTTTGATTGCTTTTTCTTGTTTCTCTTGGTTTTCTTGCGTGTCTTTGAGCGATTTATTCATTTCCTCTACCTTTTTGTTTGTAATCTCTAATTGTTTATGGCAGTTTTTCACCTCCTGTTTAAGGTCCTCTATTATTTTCATATAGTTCACTTTTGAGTCGATTTCTTCTATTTCTTCAGGAGTAGGGTGTACAATTCTTCTTATTTCGGGATCCCTGGTTTCTGGTGGTGTCATGTTGCCTTTCAGATTGTTGGAGGAATTCTTGTATTGGCGCCTTCCCATCTCTTCCTTCAAATGGAGCCAGGAGAGGCCTGGTCTCTTGGTCCAGTCTTTGCTGTGATTGACTCTCAGGGTATATCTCTTCAGTGTAGAAGCAGGAACCGTTCCCGTCCAGATGGGATTCCTCCGCAACCGTCCTGATGGGATTCCTCAGCAACTAAACAGGGCCGCCGGTAGCCCAATGATCCAGGGCCAACAGGATGAATGGAGCAAGTGGGGAGGGGGGGGTGGTATCCAGGAGCGCGCAGGAAGCCTGGCGCTGGAGCTGAAGGTGCCTGGCTCCCTTACAGGGGACCCTGAGGCCTGCCCAGTAGGCAGGCACTCACCGCTCTGGGTGGGTCGCCTTAGTTTAGGAGCTTAAAACTAAAGTTGAGCACTGGTCCTAGCATACAAAGCCAAGTTTCTTAATCTGTTTCTGTGGAAGGGCAGACACATAGGGAAGACATTAGTATTGATTTTCAGTGAATTCTAGAATATGTTATAGGATTATCATAATTCAGCTTGGCCCATTCCACATATTACACACGTATACACACACAAGCAAAATTTTCTGTAATAATTGACATTTAAATGGTTCACTTTAATGGTTTTGTGTGGGAAATACATTCTGGTGAGTTTTAAGCATCTCTTTGTCTGGTAATTAATATTGGGCGTACCTTGAATATTTGGTTACGCAGAGAAGCTCACTAGCTGCAGACACACATTTCTCAAGTGGCCTTGACATAGATCGTGGAAGTGTATGTTGCTGGACCTACCAGCAAATGGGAAAAGTGGCAGAGATACTCAAAGGCTGCGTGTCTTTCGGGCAAGTGACCGGATTCTCCTGATTCGTGTTCTCATCACTGTTGTGATGCTGTGAGACCTAGGTGAGGAGAGGTGAAAGGTCATTACCAGTCTCATGGCAGTAGATGAGGGCAATCGCACATCGGCCGACTCACCATAGTTCCTGCTGCAGCGTGCTGCACGTTGCTGTGTGGACACCATGGCAAAGGGGGAGTGAAGTGCTCCTGTCCTGGTAGCCATGAGACTGGGTGGATGAACCCGCGGACAGTGTTCTGTCTGGGCCCTGGGCTTCTCTAGTCGTAAAAAGGATCAGGTGATCTCTGATCACACCCTCACTCTTCTCCCCGGCAGAACTACCTACACTGTAGTTCTTATCAAGAGTTCAGGTGATCTGTGATTGCACCCCCTCCAGCAAAACTGCATAGACTGTAGTCCTTATCTTAGAAGCCTTTAAACATAAAGGCATTTGTGTCCTACTACAAAATCTGGTTGTGAAATAGAACTGGGATGGAATGTTCTCTATGGCTGCACTGATGGTGAGAATCAGCAATCTCCTGTAGGGAAGGCTTCCTAGTATCTGTAAACTGACTTACTGCAGCGTATGTGGCCTGTATAAGCTGATATCTGCTGCCATCTCCTGGTTGACTTCCATATAAGCGACTATAAACAGGAAAGCAAAGAACCGCGGTGCTTTTCCCTAGATTCAGTGATTGGATCACACTGAGTCACTGACAGTCACACCAGCCCATGGTACATAGGTGTGTGTTAGAGCAGATTCAAGAGACGCATGAGACACCGAGGACGAAGTAGCTAAAGTTGATCTGTTTCCATATCTGCTTCTGTCTTGAAAATGGTGACGCATGCTTGGTCCAGGGTCTAATGGTTCTGTTTCCTTTGGGGATGTGTTAACGCCTGCAGCTCTCGGAGTCCTCCTCTTCATGTTCCTCGATTCATTCCATGGACACGAATTCCTCAGGGATGTCATCCTTAATCAACCCCCTGTCCTCCCCTCCAACCTGCAACAACAACCCGAAAGTCCACAAACGTTCCGTCTCCGTGACATCCATTACCTCCACAGTACTGCCTCCCGTTTACAATCAGCAGAACGAGGACACCTGCATCATCCGCATCAGTATAGAAGACAACAATGGCAACATGTACAAGAGCATCATGGTAAGGGGCCCTGTCTGGGAGGGTCTCCATGGGAAGAGCCCATGCCTGCGTGTCTGTCAACTGTGCAGACTGGTGCCCTTGAATACGCATGGTATTTATAATACCTGTCTCTGTGTGCACCCAAAACCAACATGAAAACAGCAACATCTTCCTGGACATAGATTGATGGTATGTTTATCTAATGGTGCAGGTGTGTGTGGGATATAGTTCTGACATCTTAAGAATTATTTAAGCCTATTCATACAGGTTGGTGTCCCATTTCATGATGGTCGATGTGGGTGACTGTCTGACAGCAGCCCAGGGAGGATGCCCCTGCTTCGCATGCCTTCTTGGAACTCTTCCAGTGTTTAGATTGATGAGAAAATTGACATGTCTTTTCAGTAGTGTGGTCCTTGATGACAGAGCTTTCTCCTTCAGTCATTTGACTCCAGCCTAGCTCCTAAAGAGGATGGTGATGCTGGAAGTAGTTTGGGTCAGCAAGTAGCTACACATAATAGGAGACTAGAACTGGGTTTTATGTGCTTCTTACAAAACCTACATTCAGCTAGGGAAATGTCAAAGCTCATGTTGATGATGGTCACCTTTTGGAATACATACAAGGCCTCTCATGGTAATAACCTTGACTGTGTGGTCTTGTGATGACTAATTTCCTTAGTTGGTAGGGTCTATCATATTCCCAAATAAATAAATGATGAATTCTTCACTGCAGCAAAATCTACAATAAATCCCATTTCCACTTTCATTGTCATCATTTGCGTCCAAGCTGAGGCCTGGATGTGCCGTAAGTGGTGCGGAGTCGTTGTTTTTTAATATCCCGTTAATCTGCTGACCCATTCGTTGAACACAGTAATTACTGAGCATGTGTTGTTACTAGTTGTTGCCCTAGGCAGAGAGAGGGAGAGAGAGAAAAGGAGGGAGAGAGGGAGGGAGGGAGGGAGGGAGGGAGGGAGGGAGAGAGAGAGAGAGAGAGAGAGAGAGAATACTAAATGTTCTAACAGAAGCCAGACCAGATTGAAAATGGTCTTGCAACCTCCGCAGGGGACTTTGTGTTAATTCTATAGGCAATAAGGTCTCCCTGGAGGAATTGTGTTAAGAAACCATCAAAGTTGTTCACTAGAAGGGTAACTGGCCTTGTGGAAGCCTGCTGCTCTGCAGAGGTGGGGATGGGAGGGGCACTGTGGGTGGGAAGCAAGCTAGGAAGCTGCTCCCATCTCTCCTGCATGGCATGATAAGGGTTTGAATAACAATCCCGTGGCTAGAGATGATATGGAAGGCATCTTATGAGATATTATTGTAAGAGCCATTCATGCCCTTATCAGCCTTTGGGTAACTGTTGTGGAGGGTACAGAAGAGGGAGGATTCCTAAGGAAGAAGAAGAATTTGGGGCCATCTGTCAGCCTGGTGGCCTGTGACCATCAGTGAGATATGAACGCTAGAGGAGAAGGTTTCAGGGTCTATAAATTGGGACATCCAGATGACACCGTTTAATAGATTGTCAGAAACACAGGGATGCAGGACCAGTATTGGAGTCCAGTAGCACATATCTTTCAGCCCCGTGGGGTGGAAATGAGTGTAGGATGAGACCCAGTTCAACTAGTAGAAGGGAGTAACTAACAAAATGCACTAGAGAAGCAGCCCCCCCCCCCCCCCCGGGAGCCCAGGGCATCAGTAGTAGTTTTTCTGTTACACATGCCAGCCAGAGAGCTGTGGGCCACCCGTACAGTAAGAGTGCCTCAGAATTACAGTACAGTTACACCGTGTGCCATGCCCAGGCTGTGTGCTCTGCTGATGAGGGAAAACAGTACATCCAGGAGACATCTTAGATCAAATGGGATGTCCTGGTGTTAGGGAGGCAATAAACAGAGGAATCTCCAGGGTATTCCAACCTTGGGATGGGGCCTGGATTCGGGAGCACAGCCCCCTTTGCTGTCCCTTCCTGGGTCCCTTATGTTTCCTAGGATGAAGCCTGGAGACCTCTCCGCTGGTAATACTGATTGTAACAATTAGTTCTCTCTAGCTTTTGTTGTACAAAGTACTAAATGCCCAAGGAAAACCTGTGGTCCTGCCCTTGTTTGTAGCCTGGCTTTCTCCTAAATAGATTCTAAACCAGAACCTACCTCCTCTTCCTATCATTTACCCCACAGGCATTCTTCCTCCTTTAGCTCACACTACTAATCTACTGCTTGCTGATAATTTCCTTTATATTATCAAAAATATATATTTTCCTCCCTTAAAATTTTGTGTGCACCAATTCTTTCTTATGAGTACATAAGCCAGGTGTTTTGTAATAGGCAAATCAACACGGCCCTTATTGCTGTTTACTGAATCACAAACAGCAGCTGCTGCCTGGGTCACAGGGAGGCACTTAGGCCCCGGAGGAAATCAGATATGTGTGTGTGCATGCACGCATGCACATGTGTGCCAAACCCTAGCTAGCAGGTTTTCTCACCTCCTGGTGAGAGCAACTTTCCTTTTTAAATATGCACAATTGGAGTCTTCATTCACTTCTTTAGCCTTTAAAGAAATCACTCAAGGTATGGCATGTCGATGGCCTCTTAGATGTCACCTGAGCTCATGGTCACCACCAACTAGTGGGCAGAGATAAAGAAAAGATCAAACTGGGGATGAACAGAACCTTTGTGCTTTAATTCGAAGCTTACTTTATTGAAATATGGTTAGGATACAGTTCAAATATTAGTGTTCAGTTCTTTGAGTTTTAAAATCTCTGTATGTATCTGTCTGTCCAATATCTGAAATCGCATGAAGGCTGTTTCCAGCCACACCAGACTCCCTGCAGTACTTCCAATCAGTCTCTTTAACCTAGTCTTCTAGTGACACAGATGCAGGGGTCATGTTCTCTGGTACTCAACGTGTTTGTGGGATTCTCTCCATTGCTGCAGCTGTCAGTACTCCGTCAGGTCTTTAGTGGCTCAGCAGCCAGCAGGCTACCATTTTGCTACCCATTCTCCTGTAGTATTAATGAAGATCCTGCTTGATTCAAACTTTGGGATGTTGTGGATGAATCTGCTATGAATATTGTGCACAAGTCCCTTTGTGGACATAGGTTTTCATTTCTATTAGCAAATGGTTTGCTGGGTCATAGAGTCTCATATGCCCCCCCCCTCCATGGGCAGAATCGCAGCCATTTCTTTCTGTTGGTTGTCAACTGTTATCATGGCATCAGCTCAACTCATGAAGATCACATTGGCCCAGGACTCATAATGCCTTACATTTTTCATAGTTCCTATATATTCTTTTATTGGAAACTTTAGTCGTGTGGGGTGCTAGGCAATATGTGTTTTCCCCATTTCAGTAGAGGGCTCTGTGCCTGCCTGCCTGCCATCCTTTGACTACTCAGTTGGAAGTAGTACTAACTAACACTCGGGCGTCCTGGCTCTCTGTCCCATTCTAATGCCACCTACTCCATCCTTCCTAGAGACGTATGTGCCACACAAGACAGCAAATGTAAGAGCTTGGGAGCTTAGGAAACATGAGCTAAGCATGTCACTGATGCCTTCATTGCCTTTGCAGCTGACAAGCCAAGATAAGACTCCTGCTGTGATCCAGAGAGCAATGATGAAGCACAATCTAGACTCAGACCCAGCCGAGGAATACGAGCTGGTCCAGGTCATCTCGGAGGACAAAGGTGGGCATGTTCTCCTCTGTGCGGCAGGTGGCAGCAGTGTGCACATTTTGCTCTCAGCTGCTGACAGCAGAAAGGGCATGTAATTAATGTGTTTCAGTTTCTTTTCATTGGAACTTAGTGGCATGAGAGCATACACGTGTGTGTGCCTAGTGTATGCAAAGGTGTGTGTGTGCATTGTATGCACAGGTGTGTGTGGTACATGCACAGGAATGTGTGTGGTATATGTACAAGTGTGTGTATGTGTGTATTTTTGTGTGTGATGTATGCACAGCTGTGTGTATGTGGTGCATGCACAGGTATGTGTGCTATAGCCACGTGTGTGTGTGTACGTGTGTGTGTAGTGTGTGTATAGGTATGTGTGGTATATGCATAGGTGTGTGTGTCTAGTGTATGCACAGCTGTGTGTGTGTGGTGTATTCACAGCTGTGTGTGTGTGTGGTGCATGCACAGGTGTGTGTGTGTCCTTATCCAGAGCAGTACAATGGGTGGTCTGTACTCACCAAGCCTAGAGCAAGACTGGTGGCCAGCAAGGCCAGGCAATCCCCCATCTCCTCCCTGACAGGGCGTGGCTACAGGCACACAGCTTTTTATGTGGGTGCTAGATCCAAACTCAGATTCTCACGCTTGCACATCAGGAGTTCTCAAAACCCTCTCGTGCCCCTGGTGGTATATTTTAACTACACAGGGTGACCAGCTGCACACCACCTTACTGTAGCATCCAGTGTCTCCAGCTGCTCCCAACTCTCAGGCCCCCTTTCCATAGAATTCCTCTTACCCATAGTTTGTGTTCCCCACGAGAAGTGCGGTTTCTTGGGCAGTCTCTGCGTGTCAGGAGTGGGAAGCAGCAGGTGGACACACACTTTATTTAGTAGACACTGTGGTTCTCAGTCCTGCATGACTCAGAAGGACTCAAGGCAGAATTTCTCACCTGTTTCGCTTCAGTGTTTAAGAAAGTTGTGTGTGTAGGGGATATTTTTGTTTGTTTTGTTTTAAATTTATGACAGATCTTTGGTAACCGAAGAACAATGAAATGCATCTGTGAAGTCAAGAACTCACTATTTAAAACATGCTTTCCCAAAGGTCTCTCTGGGTAAATAGTGTATCTATCTATCTGCTCATCTGAGTTGGGGGTGGGCTTTGGGACAGAGGTGGGGAGGTGAATAACTTCTCTCTCACACTGCGGAGGCCTGCTCAGTCAGAACAAGACTACTCTGAGAACAGAAGTGACGGCACCCATTGTTGGCCGACACTAGCCCTGCCTGCAGACCCACACTAATGGTTCATCCTAATGGGGGGTGCTGCTCAGCGACAGGGAGCACTCTCCTCCCTGGAAATCAAGGGGAATCTTGTCATTGGGGGTGTGGAGGGAAAACAGCTATTTGGCCAGCGGATCTCCAGAGTTCTGTCTTTGACTTGGAGAAGAGTAGCGAAGGTTCAAACAGTGCCTTTCCCTGACATTAAAAGCTGCAGTGTCCGCAGCAGTCCTGTCCCAGCTGCCTGCTGGAGGTTTTCAGTTGTCTGCCTTTGCCTGAGTTTGTAGGATAAAACTTTCACAATTATAATTTGTGGGGGGAGGGATGCACATGTGTGCAGGTGCACACAGAACCAGAAGTCAACACTGGATATCATTCTGTGGCACTGTTGACTGCGCTCTTACTAGCGTGGGACACACCACGTAGGTTAGGCTGGCTTACCAGCAACCCCCAGGAACCTATTCCCATGTCTCTGCTTTCACAGTGAGAATTGCTAGTGTGTGTCCATACCTAGATTTTTAAGTTTATACACATACGCACACACATGCATATATGTACACACACACGCACACACGTCTGTGTATTATGTACATGCAGTATCTGCAGAGGCCGGAAGAGGGAATCTGATTCCTTGGAACTAGAATTACAGATGGTTGTGGGTGCTGGGAATTGAATCCAGGTCCTCTAGAAGAGTATCCAGTGCTCTTTTAACCCTAAGCCATCTCTCCAGCTCCAAATCCAGCTTTTTTTCTTTCTTTCTTCCTCTCTTTTCTTTCTTTCTTTCTTTTTTTTTTTTTGTATAGGTTCTTGGAACTGAACTCAGGTCCTTGTCCCTATAAAGCAATTATTTTTCAGGTGGAGCCATCTCCAAACCTCCAGTTATAACACTGAAATGCAGTTGCAGTGAAACCATAAATCCAAAAGTGTCCTGTTGAATTGTAACCTGTGGCCCACAGAGTCATACAAAGGGAGCCTAGGGTCTGAGGATGCAGTGGTCCAAAGAGTGAAACCCAGGCCTCACTGTGCCACCAGCTGAGTGGTCTCCACAAGTGCCTGACCTTGCCAGCCATGGCTCTTTGTCACTTAATCTGGAGACAAAAGCCCTCTCTGGTCCCTCATACACCATAGAGCAATTAGGAGATAAATAACATACTGGAGAGAGTTTTGTCGAAATGCCAAGTGCTCTATAGATGGGATTAGTTTTACTGTGACCCTCAAAATAGGTGAGTGTGAGTGAGAAGACTCTTGGGGGTACCAGAGTACATGGAGTGTCAGCAGAGGAGACCCTGATCATCTTGGGCTCACTGTGGGGTCCCAGTGTGAAGAAGTCAATGGAAGGAAGTGCACTTCATGCTGTCTGTAACGGGAAAGCCCTGCCGCTTTCTTCCCTGACCTCGCTGCCATAAGTCCCGATGTTCCCACATTTGCCCGTTTTATTCTGTGCCTTTAAAAACAGAATAAACAACTTTGCTTTGTCACATTTCCACTGGCAACCACCCTTGTTTGTAAACTGCAAGTGTTCAGTTGGGCATCATCGAAGTTTAATATAGCTTAAAAGTTAGTGACATGCACTGCCTTCTGTAGGTGCTGTTTAGTGTTGAAAGGCAAGCTCCAGACAGAGCTCAAAAAGAATAACTAACGAGTTTGACTTGGAATTATGTAAAAAATATTTTCATTTAATCCAAGGAAAGATGTCAGGAAAACTGCTTTAAGTCTTGTTCATATCAGGACTTCTGCAGATGGCGGAGGCCCGTGTGTGTGCTCGGATAGCAGGAGGTTGGCAGGAGTTGGGAAACTCGGGTTCTCGTTCCAGCTGTGTGGTCCTGGGACCATCTTGGTGCCCCTACCCCCATGCTTGCCTCAAGCTTTAACATTCTGTATTTGAACAGTCAGTTCTCAGGGGGGATTTCTGATGCTTTATTTGCGCTCAGTTTCAGATAGGGGTTAAGTTTTGGGGGCCGGTCATGAGGAAGTGTTCACATTGCCAGGCCTTGTGTCTGGGCAAGACTGACTTCTGCCAATCAGTGATGGCTGCCCACACAAACTGACCGGCTGCTGTCTGCTTGTCTCCTCTAGAACTGGTGATCCCAGACTCTGCAAATGTCTTTTATGCCATGAACAGCCAAGTGAACTTTGACTTCATTTTACGCAAAAAGAACTCAGTGGAGGAGCAGGTGAAGCTACGCAGTCGGACCAGCTTGACATTGCCCAGGACAGCTAAGCGGGGCTGTTGGAGTAACAGACATAGCAAGATCACCCTCTGAAAGGGACAGCATGTCCCTACTCGCCAAAGGCAGAGTGGGGCTACGAACGGCTGTGGTGACTGCAGCCACCCCCCAGTGTTGGGGATCATTGGTGACGCCAACAGATATTTATTGAGTTCAGATGTGCACAAAGCACTGTGGGGAGAGTGGAAGTGAATTTGGCATTGAAAGGGTGAATGATTCACTGATGCTCTTGGACCTGGAAGTGAAATACAAAATGATCCACATTTGAATATATATACATATATCCACATGCATACACACGTATCTAGTGTGTGTATATAAGAAGAACTTTGCAGGATATTCTGGGTTATGAAAAAACCAATTTGCACAATGGCCTGGGAAGTTGAGGTCACTTTTTACAGGGAAATAGAAGGGACTGAGAACCTAGTCTCATACCTTCTAAATAAATAAAATCAGATCTACCATACAGAGTGTTCTTCATGCCAGTATTAGAAGTCCAAACTCTATTTTTGTAAAGGGAGAGGATTACTTTTTCAATCACGTGCCATCCAATGAACAAAACAAACCGCAGAGGTTGGAGTGGCCACGGGCTGCATGAAAGACCCCCGCGGGAAGGTTTGGATGAGTCAGTGGTCTCTGCCCTCTGCCTGCATTCGCCAGAGCTTCAGAGGCCTGCGTGCCTTGCTGGTCCCCATCACAATGCCTCTGGAGTCAACACAAGCTTGTTTCGATTTCTGGAAACCCTGTTATTTGTGTGCTCTCCTAAAGAACATGCCACAGTCATTACTGCACAAGAAGCCGTGTCCACAGCCTTCAGCCAGAGAAGAAAGTGCAGGAGGATGGTGACTCGTCTGGACTCTCCTGTCTTGGAGTGCTGCGACTTCATTGCCTTTCTGATTGCCTTTTGCATGTAAAAGTGTCTGTCTGGAGTCTTTTGCCATTTGGAGCCTTGTACCTCTATCTTATGTGCAGTTTGTTCCCCGGGTGTAGACGTTTCTACTGTGATTGACTGCGTTTGATCATTTCAAGCCTGGGAAAGATTTCGGAGCAGCCACCTCCCATAATAACCCCTCAGAAAGTGTTCTCTGCTCACAACAGTGTCTGGTTTCCTTCTTTACTTTTGTAGCATCCCTTTGCCTAGTCACAGGGAAAGAAGGGATGGTGTGCCCTGTCTCAGCTTTTCCTCAAAGAGGTGCATCCTTCTAGATGGAAACAGTGACATTCTTCCCTTCCCACCCACACCTGCTCTTAGCGTTAATGTCAAGTGGCGTTTCTGTCTACAGCAACACCATCATGCTTTTGCTTCTGAGCTGAGCTGTGCTGGGGTTTGAGTGAAAAAGCCATATGTGATCAGTTGACATATATAAGAAGCACTTTCAGACTGTTGTCCCCTTTTTTAAGAAAAAAATTTCCCCAAATATCAGTTTTTATTAAAAAAAAAATAAAAAGATGAACCTAGGATATGATGTCCGGATTGTAACAGGGAACATTTTATTTTTTCCTAACAGTGTATTATATACAGCTCCAAAAGGTTGTGTGGGGTTTGTATTATTTAAGTAGCCATATGAATTCAACAAGAAACACCAGGAAAAGCTCAGAGATTTGTGGCAATGGACCAAAGAGAGAGCGAAGAAGTCATCAGATTCCATTGGTGTTTCCAGGAGACTGGACCGGGCTGTGGAGACCGGCTAGGTGTCAACCAGTCGGAAAGCACTTTCCTTTTGTTGTTGTTGTTGGTGGTGGTGGTGATGGTGAGCCTTGTTTGGTTGGTGCTTCTGTGCATAGAGGGGAGATGGCAAGGATCACAGCCATCATAAGACTGAAGCAAACCTAGCCTCAGCCTGGCTTTCTCAGTGTCAAGGTCAAAAATAAATGCGGAGCTGTTGGCCTGGTTTAGGGTGTGGCTCCCAAGACAAAGGTGTTATGCCCCGTGCTCACCCTGTGTAATTATATGTATATGTAGAGACTAGATTTATATTCTGCAGTGTAAAAAAAAGTATATATGTATATTTACCTTTTTTAAAAAAGACAGTGGAAATCCCAAGTGGATAAAACATGGCCTCATTTATTTAATGCCACGTTAGTTGTTTTAACTTTGCTTCTGGGTGAACAGCTGGATGTTGTTTCCAGCTGCTTGCACACTTGTCTTTCTGCATCTCCAGCATCTGTTTACCTTTTGGTTAAACTAATAAACTAGTTTGGGACTTGGTTGGCATGTGCTGCCAGACCCGAAGGGCTTGTATCTGGAGTGTTGTTAATTGGGTGGGTCCCAGGCTCCGGGCTTGCCAGCATTGGTTCAGAGGCCTTTTCTGAACCTACTAGACAGAACAGAGGAAGAGCAAGTGGCAGTGGCCGTCTCTACTGTCAAGGGCTGTCAACTGAGAGAGAAGAGAGATGGTCAGTGGTGCTGCTTTGCTCCATTGCTTTTCTCAGGAGCCAGGCACTGGGGCTGCCCTTTAAAGCTGTGTACCTGGGGTGAGGATTTAAGGTAGGCCTTGCTATCTCACCTAGAGCCTTTCTCAGACACAGTGCTGCCACCATCTGGACAGCTGTGAAACTGTTGGTGGTGCTCCCACCGCAAGGAAATCCTCCATGGAAGAGGATGTCATCTCAGAAGGCGTCCCATCTCAGCTGACTACATACAACACAGTCTCCTTGTTCTTATATTGTCACCCAGAATTACTTTCCTATAGGTTCCTATAGTAGGAGGCCACCTGTTTGTTCCCAGCTGCCCAGACCACCCAATAATCACTCAGAAACTATATTATTTGCAATGCTGTTTGGTCAATAGCTTAAACGTATCTCTAGCTAGCTAGCTCTTACATCTGGGATTAACCCATTCCAATTAGTCTGTGTATCGCCATGTGGCTGTGGCTTACAGAGTAAAGTTCCAGCACTTCTGTCTCTGGCAGCAGCTACATGATGTCTCCCTAACTCTGCTTTCTTTCCTCCTCTATCGGCTTGGAACTCCTGCCTTGCCCTATTCTGCTAAGCCACTGGCCAAAACAGATTTATTCATTAATCAATAAAAGCAACACATAGAAGGACTTTCTACACCATTTCCCCATTTATTTTTAAATAAAAAGGAAGGTTTTAACTTTAATATAGTAAAATTACATATAACAAGACAGGTATCAAGCAAGAATTACAGTCACAACATTCATATCTACTTTATTTTTTATCATAACCAAGGATAACTATAATTACAACTATCTATTCTTCAACTCCACCAAAGACTCCAGAAGGATATAATATTACCTAAGTAAACAGGAAATGCATTGTAAGCAACTTCCAAAACTCTAGAATTGACAGAGACATCCCACTATCTGGACAGTCACCCACAGTTCTTCTGTAATGCTGCAGGCACCCATCTTCAGACTACAGGACCATAGTATCCAGCAGACTTTTCCACGAAGCAGGAAATTTCATTAATTAATTAATTTATATTTATTTATTTATTTGGGTTTTTTGAGACAAAAAAAAACCCTCTGTAGCTTTGGAGCCTGTCCTGGAAATAGCTTTTGTAGACCAGGCTGGCCTCGAAGTCACAAAGCTCCTCCTGCCTCTGCCTCTCAAGTGCTGGGATTAAAGGCGTGAGCCACAACCGCCTGGCTGAAGCAGTAAATTTCAAAGACAGTTCCACCTATATTGGCAGTATTTGTCAGTCACTTTCTTCTGTGTCCTGCAAAATGTCTGGCAGACTCTTTCATGAAGCAGGAACCCTGAAGGACTATCTCACCTTCTTTAGTCAGCTTCAGCAGTCATCTCTCTGTGGGTCCTGCATGTCCAGTTCATACAGCATAATATCAAGCAGTCCATGCAATAACAGTTTCTTCTCCAAACTGCTTCCTGCTTTTTGTTGGGTGAAATAATTTTTTAGGGGGTGTTCACAGCAACCTTTCAGGGGGTCTTGGTCCATCAAACCGCATTAGTGTGGAAGGATTCCACAGGTTCTCATCCTCTGTAGAAACAAAAGAAGAACCTCTTTTCCAAAGTAACAATCTTTAGACCCAAATTATGAAGTCAAGATACCTTTAAAAATATATGTCAGTTTAGCTTAGCAGCCCGTACTACGAAATGTCTCACTGTACTTAGCTCATTCACGGTCAAAAAATAGAAAGAAAACACAATCATATACATGATCCAGACTCTCTGTGTATATTCCATCTTTATGTGGCTTATTTTTCTTTACTCTTACTTTTTCTACAACTTAATATTTATTTTATTATCTTTAATCTAAGACTGTACTCTTTTATATTATAGCTATCTATACTCTTTTTCCTCTCTCAAGTCTACGTACATTTATCCAACACTGTGACCCATTTAGAGGTCTTTTCCATCTGAATTTGTCTTTATTGCATATATATGTATATATATATATACATATATATATATATATATATATATATATATATATATATATATATAATTTTCTGACCAAATGCTAAGCAGACATGGCTAGGACCAATTCTGCTGCACCCCCCCCCCATTGGCTCTGCCCAGTCCAACATAATGGAGGCATGTTTGCTGCCTCTGAGAGCCATGCATGCTGCCCTAGTTCCAGGGTGGCGGTAGGTCTATGTCAACATTAAGCAACTATTAGCATGCTGCTCACAAACCCAATTTAAGTGCTCGGCCTCCTGAAAGAGCCAGAGTTCATGCTGGCAGCACAACCAGGAAGCTGCCACTTCTTATGCTGAGTCAGTAAACCTTCTCTTAAAGGAGCCACGGCACATCTTTATATGGCTTATTTGTTTCTACTCTGTTACCTTTTAATATTTAATTTATTATCTTCTTTAATCTATAATTGTACTCTCTCTTTAATGACTTTGTTTTATTTTTTAAAACCATTTACTTCCTTTTATAACTATTTCTTGTCTCTCCCAAGCCTATGTACATTTATCCAACACTGTGACCCATTTAGAGGTCTTTTTTATCTGACTCTGTCTTATGTACCTGTAATTATTTTCTGACCAGAAACACTCTTTTATTTATGCTGAGCAGGTGTGGCTAGGGCCAACATGGCCTGCCTGCTTGCTCTCCCCAGTTCAACATGAAGGAGGCATGTTTGCTGCCTCTGAGAGCCATGTACATTGCCCCATTTTTCAGGCACAATGTGGGTCTATGTTGCCATTAAGCAAGCTGTAGCACTCTGCTCACAAACCCCATTTAAATGCTTCATAGCCAGGACTCCCCAAAGAGTCAGCCATAGTGCTGGTGAACCAAGAAGTTGTCATTTTGAAACCACGTGATTTCTCTGTTTTGTTTTTGCTACCGCTGAATCAGGAAGACCTCTGTTAAACAGAGCCCACCTGAGAAAATGATGCTACCAGAGACCATGGTTTACTCTGTTCTCTTGTGTCTAGAATTCCTTTCCAGGCTTTCTCATGTTTTACGTGGATTTATTCAGCCCCACGTTGGCGTGCCAGGCTCCTAAACCCTAAAGGAACCAAGTGGGTATTTGAAAAGGGAATTGATAATGTGGCATGACCTCTGGCATTATGTGATGAATTTTTCAAAACCATTCTAGAAAGTGAGCCCCTCTCCCCACGTAGACACTGATCTTGGAGAGTTTTGCCTACATTCTTGTCTTTAGATTGCCTCTCTAAAACACTTTCAAGTTCACACAGGGTAAGCCCTCAGGAGGCTGCTGTGCTGTGCAGTGCTGTGCTCTGACCTCAGTGGGATTGGGGAGCTCCTGAGACTAATTACAATCCCAATAGAAGAAGTAAATTACATTGCTGTTTTCCTTGAGAGATGTCTGAAATGAAATGCCACCGGAAGTATTTGTTAAGCTACCTAGGCTAGACTGAAGCCACCAAGCAACCTCAGTCACTTAAACCAGAGATTTTCTTTTCCTTTGGCGTGAATACAGCAGGAGCCAGGCGAGTCTCTTGAGCAGTGACCCAGGACTCGGTACCTCCTGCCTTACAGTTCTGACCGACATGATACTTCAGCCATCATTCTTGGCCCCATCACGGTGAGGCTCCATCTGGTGTCTGTGGGCAGGGGAGGCAAAAGACAAACACCTAAAGAACTTGTCGAGCACTGGTGTCTCTTTCTAGAATGTTCCATAGCCATCGGAGACAGTGTTTAGAATAGATGGTGAAGACCTAAGAGCAGGTGGCATGGGGCAAAGGAGAAGCTGAAGACAAGCGATGCCAAAAGGAGGAAGTATCAGAAAGAATTGATGGAGGAAGGTCATTGGTTAAATAAAAAGAAACTGCTTGGCCCTCATTGGTTAGAAGATAGGTGGGAGGAGTAAACAGAACAGAACGCTGGGAGGAAGAGGAAGTGAGCTCAGACTCCACAGCTCTCCTCTCCGGAGCAGACGCCTCAGAGAGACGCCATGCTCCCAGCTCCCAGGCAGACGCACGTGATGAAGCTCCGACCCAGGATGGACATAGGCTAGAATCTTCCCGGTAAGACCAGTGCTACAGTTTATTAGAAATGGGTTGATCGGGATATCAGAATTAGCCAGTAAGGGCTAGAGCTAAAGGGCCAAGCAGTGCTTAAAAGAATACAGTGTCTGTGTAATTAGTTTGGGTAAAGCTAGCCGTGGGGGCGGCCGGGTGCCGGGGACGCAGCCCACCACCCTTATTACTACAAAGAATGATTTGAATTTGTGTAAAAGGCAGAAAAATTCAACAGAAGCTAATCTATTTTAGATCATAAACGTCAATTACTATTGCATATGGGCCCTCGGTATCCCTGCCCAGAAACCTGTAACCTGTGTGGAAATACTTTGTTTTACTTAGCAGTTTGAGAAAAATCTAATTGAGCCATACCCTCAATTCTTCCCTTCTCTTCCTTCCCCCACTTCTTTTAGGGGGTATGTTGAAACAGGATTTCCCTTTCTGGGAGAGCCTAGGTTCTCCCAGCCTCTGCTTTCATGGCCAGTATCCAAATCCTCTACCACAGCTTTTCATGAGAAATCATCACAACCCCGTCACCATTTATCACCAGAACAACGCCATGTGTCACGGGTCCGGTCACGTATACAAACACATAAGTGAGTGCCAGGATAGCGTTTTAAACAAGAGATGACTGAAAATCACTTCTGCATTGCTCCCATGCTTCCTCTCAAAAAATCGAGGTGCCAAATTTGAAATGGAAGCAGCCTTCTAAATGACTGTTTTCTCCCACACACCCACAATCCTCATTTATATGACAGCAAACAGCCAAGGCTCCAGGAAAATCTTGTCTGAGAATGTACACTATGATGTATGTGTATTT